TTGTCGAATGTCCGTGCAAGAATGGATGACGATCCAACACCATACCACAACGGATTCACCATGTCGCGCAACACACGGGCCTGAACGCTGCAACGTCGCACTGTCTAAACATGGCTGTCCATAACGCATCGCCGCTTGTGCGTTGGGCCTGTGCTTGATACCACTCCTTCTGAGCACCTTGTCGAATGTCTGTGCAAGAATGGATGACGATCCAACACCATACCACAACGGATTCACCATGTCGCGCAACACAGGGGTCTGAACGCTGCAACTTCGCACTGTCTAAACATGGCTGTCGATAACGCATCGCCGCTTGTGCGTTGGGCCTGTGCTTCATACCACTCCTTCTGAGCACCTTGTCGAATGTCCGTGCAAGAATGGATGACAATCCGGAACAATACCACAACTGATTCTCGTTTGTTTCTATTGATCATCGTGTTAGAATATCGTCCGCTGGAGATAAACCGTTGTGGCAAAGCCTACAAGTGCGCAGTACATCTGTCACAAGTAATACTTCTGGACGCTCGTTGTGTGTGTGACATGAGACAAACCGACTACCTTACCACAACCCCATACTAACCATTACCAACTAACTGTTTGATGAATTTTATTGTTGTATGTTTGAATTTTATTTAGCTCCTATGTGCAACACTGTGCGTTCGCGAGAACACTGTACTTTGCAGGGATTAGGTTGGATTCGTACCTTTGGTTCCAAACCCGTTCTACCCTGTGTAGTGATTGATGCGTTGGCAACCGTGATTGGCCGACGCATCTCACGATTCCCCCCGCAACACAAGCACCAGCCAAGAGGTACTTCCGCCATTGAGCGGCTGAGATCGTGCGGTAGGTGGGTTTATGCTCAGGTGGCTACACGTACACCGTCCGCTATAGCCTGATAGGGTTACCGCAATCTCTCTAGTCTCGCAACCCACCCCAACCACCCTCGTGCCCCACCCACCTGCTTCCGTCACCCTCTTGGCCAACACTTTGACGCTGCTCGCTGTTTGACACACGCCTTTCCAGATCGCCCGTGACTCACCAGTATACTAAGTCATGGGCCGACGCTCTGTGCTTAGTGGCTACTATTTCAGTTTAGTTGAAGCGGCAATTTTCGGAGAAAGATAACAGTGATAGACCGTCGATAATCCCTTCGTGGGATTCAGTTGCGGTACCCCTTCGAAACCGGCTCAACCATTCCGCGCGATAAAAAATTGCATTCCTACAACAACCATGACACGTGCATCAGGTCAACAAGCAATGGAGGAGGAACAAGCCGGGCGACTCTAATTTCTTGATTCTACTCCCTCTAAATCTCAGCCCCTGGCGTTATAGGCATTGGGCCACCGGTAAGCGTGCAACGGATGCAGCTAACGAAGGCTGCCGGAAGAGCGAGTGTTAAATTTCTATCCACAGGAGCACCAAGGTTCTACACGCCATACTCCGGCCCGAGCAAAGTCGCTGCGACGGCACCCGCCGCGCCAAGAGGAGAGGAATCCGAATCCCCTCCACCAGCCCCCGTCACGCACTCCCCACTCGCCTCACCCTCGTACCCATTTCGGCAACTCCACGCTTCTCCTGTCCGGGGCAGGGCGGTCTCCTCCCTCGTCGGTCCTTCCCGCGGGCATCAGCCAGGCACTTATGCCAATCCCTTCCCTGAGCTCCCCTTTTCCCGCCAGCGTGATAGTGTGAGGGCACACGGGACTGCTGCAGAATTCGTTGATCCCCTTGGCCAGAGAGGGGATTCTTCACACCCTTTTCCTCCGCTCATGGGTGCCCTAGGTGAAAGTGCGGAGCACAAGCAGTTTGTTACACGGGAGGAGTTCCAGGCGCTGCGGTCTGAGATGTACGCCATGTTTGCACAGCTCGGCCTGCGTCGTGGAGTACTTGCCAGCTATGCCGGCGGGTCGGCAGCCGTGCCTATGGCTGGTACCCTGCCGCCGATGAGTGCCGTGGACAAGGCACGAGTGCTAGTGTTGCAGGAGACAAACCCATTCCCGGTATGTGGCGGGCCAAATGGGGCGGGTTGGGGTTGACGTGGCAACCAGGGCAGGGTTGGGGCTGACGTGGCGGTTTCGAAGGGTACACGGGAGCGGCGCGTGACGAGGCGACGCGTGTCAGGTGGGTGGGGGGTGACGTGGCATGGGGTGGGTGGGTGTGACGTGGCAAGTGGGGCTGGTTGTCAGTGGACGTCACAGATGGAGGAGGGTGTGACGTGGTGGGATGTGAGGGTTGGGGCTGACATGGCGGTTTGGAATGGTACACGGGAGCGGCGCGTGATGAGGCGACGCATGTCAGGTGGGTGGGGGGTGACGTGGCATGGGGTGGGTGGGTGTGACGTGGCATGTGGGGCTGGTTGTTGGTGGACGTGGCGGATGCAGGAGGGTGTGACGTGGCGGGATGTGAGGTGAGTGTGTGACGTGGCGGCTTGGAAGGGTACACGGGAGTGGCGCGTGACGAGGCGACACGTGTCAGGTGGGTGGGGGGTGACGTGGCATGGGGTGGGTGGGTGTGACGTGGCAAGTGGGGCTGGTTGTCAGTGGACGTTGCGGATGGAGGAGGGTGTGACGTGGCGGGATGTGAGGGTTGGGGCTGACGTGGCGGTTTGGAATGGTACACGGGAGCGGCGCGTGACGAGGCGACGCGTGTCAGGTGGGTGGGGGGTGACGTAACATGGGGTGGGTGGGTGTGACGTGGCACGTGGGGCTGGTTGTCAGTGGACGTCGCGGATGGAGGAGGGTGTGACGTGGCGGGATGTGAGGTGAGTGTGTGACGTGGCAGCTTGGAAGGGTACACGGGAGCGGCGCCTGACGAGGCGACGCGTGTCAGGTGGGTGGGGGGTGACGTGGCATGGGGTGGGTGGGTGTGACGTGGCAAGTGGGGCTGGTTGTCAGTGGACGTCGCAGATGTAGGAGGGTGTGACGTGGTGGGATGTGAGGGTTGGGGCTGACGTGGCGGTTTGGAATGGTACACGGGAGCAGCGCGTGACGAGGCGACGCATGTCAGATGGGTGGGGGGTGACGTGGCATGGGGTGGGTGGGTGTGACGTGGCACGTGGGGCTGGTTGTTGGTGGACGTGGCGGATGCAGGAGGGTGTGACGTGGCGGCTTGTGAGGTGAGAGTATGACGTGGCGGCTTGGAAGGGTACACGGGAGTGGCGCGTGACGAGGCGACGCGTGTCAGGTGGGTGGGGGGTGACGTGGCATGGGGTGGGTGGGTGTGATGTGGCAAGTGGGGCTGGTTGCTGGTGGACGTGGCGGAAGCAGGAGGGTGTGACGTAGCAAGTTCACACAGTCCATCCTATGGTGACGTGGCCACAGTCATAACTGATGGTTTCTCTTCCCCATGTCTTGTTGTATACCCCACACCCCTGCGCAGAACAAAGCCTACTTAGTGTGCTCTCAGCTCATGTTTCTGAACCCCCCGGAGAAAATCCAGTACTACCCTGCACCGGAGGGAGTGTTCGAAGCGTTCGCTGTCCACTTGTCTGCAGAAGGGCTCGAGTCAATGAAGCTGCTGTGGTTGCACAACGACAAGTCTACCATGGGTGTCTTCAATCACCAGATGTCATCAACAAGGTCAACAATCAACTCCACCCTAAGGCCAGCAGCATACACTGGCATGGGCCTCTCCGATAATGCCCATCTCGTGGATAGCCTGCCCACTGAGCTACACCCAAAGAAGTGGTTCAAAGACTAGCAACTCCTGGACGAGTAGAGAGATGGTATGCGCAACCCGGAAACACCCTATGCCACACCATATGCCAGTTGGCAGCTACAAATCACCGTGCGGTGGTCCTCACCCTGACTCTCACCCCCCCACATGATTTCTCTGCAACCCCTTTCCAACCCATACCCTCCCTACCAAAATGCAGAACAGTGGGCCCTCAACTGGCACTTTGACAAGGCCACCGGGACGCCATTCAGCAGCCCCTTGTTCGCTTATGCGTTCAAGCTCTCCTTCAAAAGGGGCGGGGTCATGTTCACCAAGTTTAAGAGCCGCATGGTGGCATGGGGCCTGTTTTCGGTAAGGATGTAGATATGTGTTTGTACACCCATGTCCCATCCCCTAAACCCCTTGCCTGTATTCCATCTAACTCCCTGGTCGCTTAAGCGTTTGCGGTTCCGTAGATAGTGACGCCTGAAATCACCGCTTTCAGTTGGCTCATATACCCGTAACCCCCCCTCATACACCATCCACCCAACCCTACACCACATTGCAGATCGAGTGGCCCCTTCTGCAGGATAAGCGTCGCAAGCGAATTCCGGCCCAGCCGGAACAAAACAGGCCGGACTACTTCGAGTGGTGTGATAAGGTCAAACAGATGATACAATTTGCTGTCGTGGAGTGGAGGATCCCACATGATCCGGCTCAGGATGCGTTCATCTTCCCCAACAAGTTCCTCATCGACGAAGGCGACCTTGGAGAGGTCGTCCTTGCCCACCAGGTGCTTGCAAGGCCCAGCAGTGCGTAGGCTATTTGATCTGGTGCTAAGACACCTTGTTGCTAGAATGCTGAATAATGGTCATTGTAAACCGGAATATTAAATCTTATTCTGAAATCCTCAATATCCAAAATAAAACAAAAACAAAATCTAGTTTTGAATAATTTGGTCACGAATTTGCACCAAAACGGATTGCGCCCGAATGGCATCCGGAAAAGCTCGCATGCCAAAAGGAACTTGACCCGAGCCAAATCTTGTCGCGAGATGTGTGTCGGAGCTCCTATCAAATGACTCCAACCGTCGGTCGAAATTGGGTCCGGATTTTTTTACGCGAAGACAATCCCAATAAAAATTCGTCCAAACTTGGCATAGGGTTTTTGTGATCAAAGGACTCTTTAAAACCACCTACACGCACGTGCAGGCTGGTTTTTTTCTCCCACTGCCATGCTCCACTGCCATGCCCCACTGCCATGCTCCACTGCCATGCTCCCACTGCCATGCTCCCACTGCCGTGCTCTGCTCTCAACTCTCTGTGCTACCCTATAATCGTTCCTTCTCCATGATGCCCTTCGCCCTTAAAAGCCACTCCCCTACTTCCTCTTCTTCCCACCCATCCCTCCCTTGGCCTGCCGTCTCCTGTCTGGGAGTGGTGCTGCTGCAGCTGCTGTCAGGCCGCATTTCCCTCTCTACAGAGAAGACCACGCCACAGTTTTTCAGAGACACTGTGAGTGCGAGAGGAGCATTGGGGGAAGGGCGGGTGCTGAGTGTGAGTGGGCATTGGGGGAAGGGCGAGTGTTGCATGGCGAGAGGCATTCCAACAGCCCAGTACCTCCATCACTAGCAGTGTTAAGTGTGATCCCGGTCCAGAGACTTCTCACAAACTTGCTTCCGCTCACTGCGGTGGTAAGGCAGCATCAGACTCAATGCAGCCACCCACAGTTGCGGCCAACAGGAGGCTCCTCCTCTCCTATCTTTCCTTATCATTACTTGGAACTGTTTTTCTCTGTTTCACTGCCTGCTGTTTCCTCCTATCACACATGCTCCTCCCCTCGTGCTCCTCCCCCATGCTTCACCCTCCATGCTTCGGCCCCCGATACTCCACCCTCTATGTTCCTCCCCCCTTGCTCCGTACCCCATGCTTCTCCTCCAACCTGTTTCCCAGCATCTACCCACTTTGGGTCATTCTTGGTCTAGCCTTGGGTTCATGGGTCTAAAGTCAGCACCTCACTTCCCCCCCTTGCCCTTCTCCCCGCACCATGTTGAAACGCAGTTACAAGTCAACAACTCCGCTGCTCTAATTGATCCTGCCCTTGCCTCCTCCTTCCTCCGACCCACCACCAGTACCAGCGCCAGCATCCCGACCAGCAGCGCCACTAGCAACTCCAGCGCGCTCTCTAACACCGCAACCGCCACCACTGCAGCCACAGCAGCTGCCAGCGCTGCTGATACTACACCGGGTGTTCCCATGCTGAATGTTCTTATACCCAGTTTGGTGCGGCTGGCTCGTGTGGGGCTCGCATGCACAGCCATGCCGGCTTCTACCCGGCTCTCCTTGGGAAGAGCTCTTGCTGAGCTGGAGATTATGCATGATGACGTGGCAACAGCATTGAGGCAGATGGAGGAAGAGATGGAGAGGCAGAGAGGGGAATTGTAGAAGGGAGGGGTGCCGTGGCAGGCAATAGGGGAAATGAGCATTTGGACTCGTGGGGCATTGCTTCCCACTCTCACCCTTCCTCCTCCGCATCTCCAAATCCTGCCACTTCTCCTTCGCAGCTTCCTCCTCCTGTGCTCGCCTCCTCCTCCTGCGCCCTTCCCCTGGCGCCGCTACTGTGCCAGCAGGTGGCCATGGTGGGCGTGTTGCGTGCCACGGCTGGGTGGGCGGCGGACAGGCGCATTGGCAGTGGCGGGTTTGGCGACGTGTATCGTGGAGTGAGCCCGTTGGATGGGTGCACGCCGTGGGCCGTGAAGCGTGCCCGAGTGCTCACCAACGACTTTCGCCGCGAGGTGTGACTCGTGGGGTGCTGGGCGTTGATGTTAGCTGGAGTTTATGTTAGTGGGCGTTGATGTTAGTGGGGGTTGATGGGGGTGAGAGGAGGAATGAGAGATGTGCAACAACGACGTCAATGGCCAGGATTCACTTGGGTGCGAGCCAGGTTGGGTGGGAGCCAGGTTGGGGAATGAATGAAGCGAAATGCGAGAGGCATGAGCAATCAATTCAGTACTATGTTTTGCACCTGGAATTCCCTCCCCCTCCATGCCCTTCTTCCCCCCCCCATACCCTCGTTGGCCTCTGCCCCCATACTACCTACCCTATCATTCCCTCCCTGCCTCACTCCCTTGGGGTGGTGTCAGGTCTACGAGATGGCATCAAAGCACCACCCTCACCTGGTGCGGCTGCTGGGGTTCTGCAGGGAGTATGACGCGTCGGCGGAGCGCATGGAGCAGATCGCCATCTATGAGTTCATGCCCCACGGGGACCTGCATCACCGCCTGCACGGTGATGATGCCACAGGTGGGCACCACCGCCTGCACGGTAATGATGCCACAGGTGGGCTCCACCGCCTGCACGGTGATGGCACAGGTGGGCACCACCGCCTACACGGTGATGGCACAGGTGCGCACATATGCACTCTTAGGCGGCTGGTGTGACGAAGAGCGAGGAGGGAGAGTGGGAGCGAGAACAAGAGGGAGGAGGAAAATAGGGATGTGGGAAGGGAAGGGATTGTCAGTGTTTTGAAGGAGGGAGAGGCAAGGATGATGGAGGCGGTGCCATTGTTTACATGAAGTAAGGGCAAGTTTGCCTGCTCGTTCTCTTGCTGCTCTTGCTCCTCTCAATACAGGCCTCTATCTTTTTATTCTGGTCCCTTTCAATTTCCTCTCTCTTTTGGTTGGTTCGTCAGGTAGTAGCACTCCTCTGACCCAACAGCAGCGAGTGGACATTCTGATGGGAGTGGCGCGCGCGCTGGAGTATCCGCACAGCTTTGGCATCATGCATCGCGACATCAAGCCCGCCAACATCCTGCTGGACGCCCACATGCAGGCGAGTGTAGGCGAGTGCAGGCGAGTGCGGGCGAGTGCGGGTGGATGCGGGCGAGTGCGGGCGAGTGCGGGCGAGTGCGGATGAGTGCGGGTGAGTGTGGGCGAGTGCGGGCGAGTGCGGGTGAGTGCGGGAGAGTGCGGGCGTGTGCATGCACTGATGCATATCTCGTGAGAAGTTAACATCTCACTCAGGTGTCTCCACAAAAAACCAACATTCAATGGGCAAGCTGTGACTCCGTAACACATCAGTGCTTGTCACATTGAGGATCATTTCTCCATCGTGCAGGCGAAACTGGCAGACTTCGGATTGCTGAGACTGGCGGAGGGAAGCAGGTCACTGCAGTCCACGCAAGTGAGGGGCACGCCGGGCTATGTGGACCCCGTGTATTCAATCACTCACAAGGCCACTCCCAGTGCTGATGTGTATAGCCATAGGTTTCCACGGCCAGAGGGAAGAAGCCAACCGTCTTCAATCGGTTAGCGTAATGCTTGATCTTTTTGTCAGCTTGCTCCCGTGCCGCCCATCCCCTTACTTTCTCTGCCATGATGGGGTCCATGATGGTAACGTCACACACATAGACCGCCCCGCTGCTCCTATCAGTCATGGTGAAATCGGCCGTCTGTTCCTCGATGGGGCAGTGGGCGGCCGACTCGCTGTGAACGATAAACCCCGCATCCTGCGCCATGCTAATGCAGGCGTCCCGCAACTCATTGTGGGTGTTGATGCGGTGCTTTCCCGTGCCGCAGCGGAGGAGGTGGTTCGGGAGGCGGGGGTCAATGATAGCCGTGTGGTCAGAGCAGTCGCACTTCTTTGGCGTGGAAAACGGGAGGCCGAGTCGAAAGCGCACAGCATTGGTGAAGTGCACGGGTCCTACACGTCTGTTTGGGGCAATGGGGATAGCGGTCAGCCAGTCACCGGTCCCGTATCCTGTCAGCGAGAACATCCGCTGCGTATGGCCTGAGAGGGGGTTCGGTTTCATGCGCCACGTATCCTGGACCTGCACGGCGTATCTGCTGCCGTTGACCTTCAAACCGAGCACGTGCTGGAGCCTTATATCCGAAGGTGACAGCCGCTCTTTCTCCAGAATCTCCCGCGCGTCCCCTGGCAACGCCGCTTCACACTCGGTAAGCCATGTGTGCAGTGGCGTTGTGTCGTCCCGTGGCAAGAGCATGTGGTTCCTCGCCTGGGTCAATGCGTTTTCTGGGTCTAGCTCGAGGGTGGAGAGAAAGAGCGCTGCCTGGAAAAAACTTGCCGTGAAGCCGTATACCCCTTCTACTAAGGGATCCGTGATGCCGATGCCACCTAGCGATGGTGGCAGGGAAGCCTACACCCAGACACGTGTTTGCTCAGCTCTACTCATTGGGACGCGGATATCGCACGCTACCAGCAGTGCTGTTAGCAGGTCCTGTCCCCATTGGCTCCAGCTGTCTCGGGGGAGTAGGTGGAGTGGCGTCGTTTTAATGAGGTAGGGCCACGCGCCTGGAGATGCAGCGTGTGACTAGCAGCGAGGCTACCTGGGGGTCAGCTCGTTCAAGGAGGGGCAGTGGCTTCGCCATCTCTTCTAGCTGTCTAGAAAGGAATTTTGCCGCCCCAGAGTCGAGTCCCAGGTAGCTACCCAGGAGTCGCACACCGTCTGTTGAATACGGCACCCCTGGCGGTAGTTGCGTCTGGTCAACTGTGTATGATCTCCAGGCCGCGCACTTCTGTGGGCTGTGCGTCAGGCCCAGGCGCGCCAGCTTGTTAGTGAAGAACGTAAAAGCTGCTACAGTTTGAGGTGTCTCTCCTAGGAAAGTGACGGCATCTGCGTAAGCTAGGCAGAGTACGTCCGGATGTGCCTCAGCTGTTTCTCGGAGTGTGGGATGTATTCCTGCCGCGAACAGCAACGGTCCGAGTGGGTCGCCCTGGCGAACCCCGCGTTCGCTTTTTAGAGGTTCGCTGTTGAAGTTAGCGTCCAGGTGCAGCGGCGACGGGTTACCGTAGGTCAGTTTGACTAACGGCAGCAGTGGCGAAAGGCCGGGGTCCTGTAACGCAGTGGCGATGGCTTGTCGTGAAATACTGTTGAATGCGTTTGAAATGTCCGTTTGCAGTACCAGGCTGTAGGGACGGGCATCTAAAAATGCACGTGCTGCATGGATGACCGCCTCCGCTCCTCCTGGCACCGCCACACCGTATTGTAGGGGTAGGAAATACTCGCGGGCAGCTTCTCCCATGGCTGTAAGGGCAGCCTTGGCCGCCAGCCGAGTCAGACATTCGCCTATCGCGATTGGCCGGGCTCCCCCTCCTGGTTTGGCCAGATTGATGAGTCGCGACGCCGTCAGCAGGTCTGCCACCGGGCCTGGTAAATTTCCTCCCAGCATTGTGTTTACCAAGGCGTGCAGATGGGTGCTGACCAGTCCGTTGGTTACGGCCGCGTCGCGCAGGTGCTCGAATGTCGTGCCAGACGGCCCGGCCCCCACTCCGTTGTCGCATCTTCCCAACATTTTTGCGAATTCAGCGGGGGTGATGGTCAACTTTGACCCACGTGTCTCTGGCCAGGTCATCATCGCGTGTGCAGCTGGCGGGTGTTTTTGGCGAAGTTCGTCCAGGATTTCTGGACTAGGGGTGCAGACTGGAGTCGACTCCAGTGCCAACACGGCACATCGGAGACTGCCTCGTTTCGCCAGGCCCTCGGCTCGGCTGATGACTCCAGTCGCGTTAGTCCGGTGTCGTGGCAGTGGAGGGGTGTTGACTGCCTCGACTGCGTCTCGGTACAGCTGCTCCCATTTGCCATGTTGGAAAGCTCGCAGCCGAGCCTTGATCTGGGGCCAGTTTGGGCGTCGAGGTGAGGTTTGGCGAAGTGTAAGGCGCGGGAGAAAAAGCAGCAGGCGCCATCCCACTTCAGACTCTGGGTTTCGCGACAGGTGGAGTAACGGGGTCAATAGTGCCAACGAGAACAGCTGGCACATATTTGGCGGTAAACGCCGTGCCAGAGAAGGTTGTCGACTGTCGCTCAGTGCTGAAATTTCCCAGTTCACGATGTCAGCGAACAAGATTGCTCGCTTCGCCAGTTCGTCAGCTGAAAAATAGCGGGGGTTTGGGGGGTTCTGGCGGACCGCTCTATGTGCAGTCGCGCTTTGATTTTGTCGTGCGCGGTTTGTCCCCGTGGTCGATGGGAAGGTTGGATTCACGCCCGTTCGATTGACATCTGACGGTCCCTGTTCAGCTTCCTGGCGGTGCACGGCCTCCTCTCTCATTCCCGTCGTTGTCTCCCTCGTCCCGTCTTCTTCCTTCCCGTCCCCATCCTCACTCGATGGGAGGGTCTCTTCACTATATGTAGGGTCTGCGTTTTCGTCGACTTCATTAGTTGTCGCTAGTGCTATTAAAGCCATTCGTCCCGCCGCTTGCTACCCGTTCTCCGGTCCTCCGCCCGTCCCGCTAGCTGTCTGTCTCCTAGCCCCGTGATCTCCTTGCTCTCGCGATGGTGATTGCCGGTGCGCCTGAGTCGTCGCCAGAGCTCGCTGCCGCTTAGTCGGCTGTGGTCGCCAAGCCCCGATCGGAACCCGAAAAGGCGACCACTGCGATGAAGCCCCCTCTCCCGCTTGCTCCGAAGCCCGCGTCAGCAGTCTCTGAAATGCCTCCTCCCCTCGCACCCGAGGCTCCTGGTGCCGTGACTGCCCTGGTCCAGTCTGTGCCTGTTGCTGCTCCCTCCGCTCCGTCCGCTGCTCCTGTTCCCCCGGCTCAATTTGTTGATCCGCCAGTATCTGCGCCCACTGGTGTCGTGGCTGATCCCCCGGTTCCTGTCCCTGGTGCACCCGTTGTGCCGTCTGCTTCTGCCCCCGCCGAGCCTTCTTCGGCGTCTGCTTCGTCGCCGAAGGCGGCGTCCGCCACCACTGGCGTCCCGGCTCCGTCGGTTTTGCCCGCGGTGGCGGGTCCATCCGTACCTACTGTGACGCCGGTAGCCCCGGCAGGTCAGCCGTCACGTCCCCAGTCACCCAACCGTCGTCTGTCTCGGCCCCATTCCCCTGCGCCCCACCAGAAGCGCAGGTCGACTCGTCTCCGGCGCGACTCTCCACGGCGTTACCAGCAGCAGACGCACTGGCCTGCTCACCCCGGTGGTCAGGGGGACTGGAGGGGTCCCCGCGGGCGTGGCGGTGGTGGGGGGTACCGTCCGCCTGTGACGATGGCGGATCTACAGCGGGAAGTCTCGAGGGCGGTGCGTGAGGAGAGGGCGGCGCAAAGTGAGAGCAGTTCCATGCGCGCCTCGCCCGCCCTTCCATGCGCGCCTCGCCCGCCCTTGAGGCTCCTCGACAGGCTGTGCTCCCCGTGGGTCCGCAGCCTGCCGGTGCACCCCCGCCTCCGGATCACTTCCCGCCGGTTCCTGCTCCCGCCGCCTCGGCCCCTCCCCCCTGTTCTCGTCTTCATCTGCCGCCGGTTCTGCCTATTGCGGGAGTGGAGTTTGTTGCTGCGGGCGGTGGCTCGTCGGCGCAGTATTCTCACCACGTTGCTGCGGATGAGCCACTTCTGTTCCTGACGGAGGCACTTCAGCCTCCGCAGACGCGTGTTCCCCCGGCGACGCTTGGCCAACTCCACCGACTCGCGGAGAGTCTCCACGCGTTGCTGCTGATTCAAGTTCTTGCTCACTCGTCCATCAAACAGTCAGAAACTGAATTGTGTGTTCATTGATGTGGGTTGGGGTACGTATAGCAAGCCCTAATATTTGTACCCCCTAAGACAAGCCTCACTACAGGCTACATCATTTGACACACCCCCATAGCCTAATTGAGGGGTGTCTAGCAAAGACAAAAGAGTACGGTCACAAGACCAGACACAAACAAACAAAGCTCAGGGTGGATCACAACGTCACCACACATTCCGAGCGCAAGCAAAGGGCCACAAGGCTAGTTCAAGAGTTCACAGGTATATAAGTCATGAGTACAAGACAACAAGCAACGACTATGCAAGACGAGAACCAGAGTCAACGAGACCTAATTGCACACAACACCTGTGGTGGTCCCAAGGCGGAAGCGCCTTGGTGAAGATGTCGGCAGTGTTGGCCTCGGACTCCACAAAGTCCAAGCGAGCCTGTCCACGCCTCTGCAACTCTCGCAGTAGAAAGTACCTGACGTTGATGTGCTTCACTCTGCTCTCCAGTCGAGGCTCCCGACAGAGAAGAATCGCTGCCTTGTTGTCAGTGAACAAGGTCGGTGCAGAGCTCGGCCGCTCACCAAGGTCTGTGAGCAAGAAAGTCAACCAACGCAGCTCCTATGCAGCCATGGCTCCAGCGTAGATCTCAGCCTCAACGGTGGAGGTCGAGGCCGAGGAGGAGCGCGTGGACCTCCACGAAACAGCTCCATAGCCCAGGCTGAAACACTAACCCTGTGTAGTCATGTGGGTCTCGGCGTCATCAGCGTAAGAAGAGTCACAGTGATCAGTAAGGACGACCGGCTGTGTCCCTCCAAGTACCAACCCCATGCTTGATGTCGTCGCTAGGTACTTCGCCACCCTCACAACAGCAGTCCAGTGAACAGGAGGGTGTCTCCCTGGCGCAACAAAGCGAGCAAGGATACTGAGAGGGTAGGCGAGGTCCACAAGCTCTGCGTAGGGACCACTAGGCTCAAACGGCTCATCAGGAAAAGGACCAGCGAGTCTGTGGTCAACAGCAAGAGGTGTGCGCTGTACTGTGGAGTGCTGAAGCTCAAACCGTTGAAGGACCTGTTGCACCATGTGTGACTGTGAAAGTGTAATGGTGCGAGCGGCTCTGTCCCTGGTGATCTGCAGGCCAAGATAGTGGCGCAGCTCACCAAGTTCAGTGTAAGTGTGTCTCTTCTGCAGTTCGCGCTTCACGTCAGCCAAAGCAACCCTGTCAGCAGTGGCAAAAACCAGGTCGTCGATGTAGACCAGTACAAAGAACGGTGTGGAGCCACGACGAACAAACAGTGACGCGTCAGCAGAAGACGGCTAAAAACCGAGGTCAGACAGGGTAGAACGAAGGGTGTCGTGCCACTCACAAGGAGCCTGACGGAGACCGTAGACCGGTCTCCTCAGCCTCCACTATGTCCCAGGAGGGAAGGTGCCAGTGAAGGCAGAGGGAAGGCAGAGGGACGACGCAACTAGACCTCGTGTAGGCTACCCTGAAGGAAGGCAGTGGAAAATTCGAGAGAGAGTAGCTCGTAGTCTCTCTGTGCTGCTACGTGCAGTAACACCCGAAGAGTGGTCATCTTCGGGGTAGGCGCGAAGGTCTGAAAGAAGTCAACTCCCTCGCGCTGACTAAAACCTCTGGCCACATAGCGTGCCTTGAAGACCGGAGGAGATCCCGATTGCTGCTTCACCCTGAAGATCCACATGCCATCGGCTATGTTCGCCACAGGGGGGGGGAACCTAGTCGATTTAAGTGCCTGTGGATGTGTAGGAGGCCATCTCTGAGTCCATGGCAGCTCTCCACTGAGAGGCCCAAGGCCCTGACACTGCCTCATCATAAGTGCAAGGAGTCGGTATGTCAAGGGCGTCGGGGTCTCCCTCAGGAGCGAGCAGCATGGCACAGAGATGAGGGGAAGCGGATGCCAGGAACTCTAGCTCAAACTGCCTGTCCTCTAGGGCAGACTCACCCCAGACGGCCAGATGACTGGTAGGAAGAGCAGCCACAAGACTGGTGGCGTAGTCAAGGCGGCGAGTAGAGGCAAACTCAGTGACTGCGAAAGTAAGAGCAGAGACAGAGGATAGAGAGGGACGTGGTTCGGTAACAAGAGAGGCGAGAATACGAGACACAACAGGATGGTACGTGCGGTTATAGTCCGTGACAGGAGTAGAGAGGGAAGCAGTGAAAGCAGACTCGGGAGGAGAAGGAAGTACAGAAGGAGACAAACGAGGCGGACTAGAACGAAGAAAGGCAGTACGAAGATCAAAGAAGGGAACAGGGGACGAGGGACGAGCACGAGGAGAGCGACGCGAAGGCCAAGTGTGAGAAAGAGGAGGGAACAACGGAGGCAGAGGAGGAGGGAAAACAACTGGGGAGGGGTTAGGAGGAGGAAGCGGAGGACCAAAGACGGGAGGAGAGGGGGAGGAGGGAGGAGAGGGAGAGGGGAGACCGAGGGTCCGAAGACTAGAGACAAGAGGAGGAGGTGGCGGCTGCTGCTGCTGTGGCTGCGACTGCTGCTCCTCCAGCTGCGGCGGCTGCTGCTGCTCCTGCTGCTGCGGCTGCTGCGGCGGCTGCTCCTGCTCCGGCCGCTGCTCCTGCTCCGGCCGCTGCTGCTGCTGCTGCTCCGGCTGCCACTGCTGCTGCTGCTGAGTCAAGTACCACGCCGCTGCTCCACCCCCTGCGGCTGGCAGACCAGTAGGTGGCTGACGAACCCGGGCGTCACCTCCACCAGCTGCAGAAGGGGAGTCATCGGCCGCCGCACGAGGCGCTCCTCCAGCCCCTGCACTCCCGCCGCCACCGCTCGCCACATCACCCCCACCGCCTCCGCCGCCTCCGCCGCCTCCGCCCGCACCCTGACCGCCCCTCCTACCACTCCTACCCCGAGACTGCGAAGAAGTCGTAACAGCAGCTGCGGTCACGTCAGTAGCGGCAGTGGCGAGGGAGGCAGTAAAGGTGGGCAGCTGAGGGACAGTGCACCCGTGAAACAGTGGAGGGGGCACAGCACCAGAGGTAGAGGCTACCGAGCGGAGGTTGCTCTCGACGTCCTTGAGAGCAGACTCAAGGACGCCGATAGTGAGCTCACTAGGATGCTTCAGAAGAAGTGCGTCATGAACCAAAGCAAGGTGGTCAGGGAGGCTAGTGGCGATGAAATAGATAGTGATCGGCATGGGAGGAGGGAGCAGTGCAAGCTGTGTGTCAGTACAGGCAGCGCGAAAGCTAGAGTTCAACGAGCGCAGGTGAGCGATCAGGTCAGCAGAGCGCTCAAACGAGGCGAGGTGGGGAAATAGGAAGGGGAGGAACAGGCGACCAAGAGAGACAGTGTAAGGAGTAGCATAGCGGGCCTTGATCGCAGTCAGGAACTCACTAGCCGTGCGAACCTCTGAGAAATGGGTCTCCTCGGACTCAGGGAGGAGGCTGCTGAGGGCGATGCAGGCCGCAATGTTGCGTGATCTCCAGGCTGTCAAGTCAGCACGCTGACGCGCAACACGCTCTTGTCAGAGGTCCACTGGTGATCCCCGATTGATCCTAGGGAAGGGTTACAGGCTTGTTGTCCTGGGGGGTTATGGGCGCACTGACCCGCTACCTAACAAGCCCTTTTATCCCAGTGGTTAGTGGCTGGGATTCTGACAGCTCTGTGTCTTCAGAGGTAGCGTCAAGGCCTAGGTTATCAGCATCGGGGGGCGCGCGGAGTTCACCGGAAGCGTGCGCCCACAAGAACTCGTTCGCCTGAACCTGACTCTCTAGGAGACGCTGCGCACGCTGGAGCCAGACAAAGAACTCGAGGGGCCTACCCTCGGCGTCAAAGCGAAGGACCCTAGGGGTCGCCATAGCAAAAGCAGAAACTACAAGGCCGGCAGGGTGCAGTGGCAGGCGAGGGCAGGGCGACAAGCATGGCAAGGCGCGTGTGCGTGCGCAGGGCAGGTATGAGAGTACGACGGCTTATGCCAGCCATACATGCTTGCTTTTATTTCCTTACGCTATTTCTAGCTTAGGTTTATTTTCTACATGCATGAATTGCTTGAATTCCTAGGTTCGTTGCTTTACTATAGTTATTATAGTTATAGGCACCGAACCAGGCTACGTGTACCGAACTCAAGCTATTCGGTTGCCACTGAATTGCTTTCTACCGAGTTCGGGAAGGTTCTGTTCGGGACGCTTTGCGACCCTCAGAACATTCGCGTAACACCTGGGTTACCTGCCTTGTGTCGAGCCTATATATAGCCTCGTGTTGTACCTAGGTGATCATTCAATTCAAACTCTCTTTTCTGAGCTCGATCCTAGATCCTCACACTTGGTAATCAGAGCCCGTTTACACGCGAACGTTTTCCGACCACTAAAACCCAGTCTTCAAAAACCGCGGGGGCGACACAGTTAAACATCGATTTCGGGTACGTAAAACCGGTTCCGTGTTTTTCGCTCCCCCTCGTTTCGGTTTTCTGGACGCGTAATGTCAGGCATGGAGGGCCAAGGCGACAACTATGCGACCACGAGCGACATCGCGAGCATCCGCACCGACATGGAGCAGACGCAGGCGGCGCTACGACGACTCGAGGCCCTTCTGACACACCAACCAGGAATCGCCACCGCAGCAGCGAATGTAGCAGCGACGGCACCAGCAGCAGTGGCGACACCGATATTTCACGGACCGATGGCACCACTGTCGCCGAACCTCGAAGCAGCACGACCGAGGCTCCCTGAGGCGTTCGATCCAAGCGCGAAGGGATCCGACGTCCGGGGATTCGTGGCCACCCTCGAAATTTACTTCGAGGCCATTGGCTGTTCGACCCCGACACACGACGCAGCAAGAATTCGGCTCGCAGCGACACTGTTACGTGGACCGGCACTCGAGTGGATCTACTACACTGACGTGGCCCGCGGGGAGAAATCGTGGGCGC